ACCTTCTGCACTCGAAGTGCCAGAGTGGGGAATTAGCCTAGACACCATCATTTAAAAACTACTGATCTAAGGATTAATTTATTTAACCATGTACACACCATTAAGTTTCACTCCAAAATTCAAAATACACTACCCATTTATTTAAAATGGAAGACTGCTCCTTTTCAGGGTCTCCCCTCCCCCGCCCGCTGCCATACTCTACAAAATTTCAATTAAGAAGATAATTTTCACCTCCACTGTAGAGGCAGCCATCAGACTGTTAATCAACATGGAGCCCCAGTTATCCTAACCCTGCAGAAAACTGGCAGGCAAGAATCTTAGGAGCTGCAACACTGGGAAACCACACCTCATTACACCTTAACTAGGTGTTTCCTTAATGCCTAACTAGTCCCCTTAAATGCAAATTTGACATCACTTTTGTCTAGTCAGCTTTACAGATTCCCTTGGGTAGTCAATGTCACCTATTTGGAGAGTCACACATCAGCAATGGGAAAAAAGCTTAAAGAGGGAAATGTGAATTTCAAACCCCAAAATCTGGACAGAGAAAACAAGATAAGGTTTAAATTAGGGCTGTCAAGCTATTAAAAAAATTGTGATTAATCCCCACTGCTAAATAATAAATAAATAATAATAAAATACCATTTATTTAAATATATTTGGATGTTTTCTATATTTTAAAATATATTGATTTCAACTACAGCACAGAACACAAAATGTACAGTGCTCACTTTATATTTTTATTACAAATATTTGTGGTGTAAAAAACAAAAGAAATAGTATTTTTAAATTCACCTCATACAAGTATTGTAGTGCAATCTCTTTATCAAGAAAGTTGAACTTACAAATGTAGAATTATGTACAAAAAATAACTGCATTCAAAAAACAAAACAATGTAAAAATTTAAAGCCTACAAGTCCATTCAGTCCTACTTCTTGTTCAGCCAGTCACTCAGACAAACAAGTTTGTTTATGGTTGCAGGAGATAATGCTTCGGGTTCTGTAATTTCCGCATCAGAGTGTTGCTCTTTTAAGACTTTTGAAAGCATGCGCCACACCTCATCCCTCTCAGATTTTGGAAGGCACTTCAGATTCTTAAACCTTGGGTCGAGTGCTGTAGCTATCTTTAGAAATCTCACTTTGCATTTTGTCAAATCTGCAGTGAAAGTGTTCTTAAAACGAGTATATGCTGGGTCATCATCCGAGACTCCTATAATATGAAATACATGGCAGAATGCAGGAAAAATAGAGCAGGAGACATACTATTTTTCCCCAAAAATAGTCAAAATTTAATTAACGCATTTTTTTTTTTAAACGAGCGTCATCAGCATGGAAGCATGTCCTCTGGATTGGTGGCCGAAGCATGAAGGGGCATATGAATGTATAGCATAATTGGCAATACCAGCTACAAAAGTCTCATGCGAATGCCTGTTCTCACTTTCAGATGACATTGTAAATAAGAAGCGGGCAGCATTATCTTCCATAAATGTAAACAAAACTCATTTGTCTTAGCGATTGGCTGAACAAGAAGTAGGACTGAGTGGACTTATAGGCTCTAAAGTTTTACCCTGTTTTGTTTTTGAGTGTAGTTATGTCACAAAAATAAATAAATAACTAATAAAAAATACAAATCTACATTTGTAAGTTGCACTTCCACGCTAAAGAGGTTGCATTACAGTACTTGTATGAGGTGAATTCAAAAATACAATTTCTTTTATCATTTTTAACAGTGCAAATATTTGTAATAAAAATATCAAGTGAGCACTGTAAATTTTGTATTGTGTTGTAATTTAAATCAATCTATTTGAAAATGTAGAAAAACCATCCAAAAATATTTAATCAATTTCAATTGGTATTGTATTGTTTAACAGTGTGATTAAAACTGCACTTAATCATGATTAATTTTTGAGTTAATCGTGTGAGTTACCTGTGATTAATCGACAGCCCTAGTTTAAAACACTAAAAATTCCTTAAAAATTAAGTTTTGAAGTTGGTGTCACTTTAACGTATACTTCTACTTTGAAACATGACTAAAAAGCATCATTGGACTATTTTCACAGAATCATAGAAATTTGAACTAGAAGGGACCTCAATAAGTCATCTAGGCTGGTCCCCTGCACTGAGGGAGGATTAAGTATTACCTAGACCATTCCCTACAGGTGTTTGTCATTAGAGGTTTTTAAGAAGAGGTTAGACAGAGATCCCACAACTTCCCTAGGTAATTTGTTCCATTGCTTATCTGCCCTTACAGTTAAGTTAGACCAGGGATCGGCAACCTTTGGCATGCAGCCCGCCAGGGTAAGCCCCCTGGCGGGCCGGGCCACTTTGTTTACCTGCCGCATCCGCAGGTTCGGCTGATTGCAGCTCCCACTGGCCGCGGTTCGCCGCTCCAGGCCAATGGGGGCTGCGGGAAGCGGCGACTAGCACATCCCTGGGCCCGTGCCACTTCCTGCAGCCCCCATTGGCCTAGATCGGCAAACCGCGGCCAGTGGGAGCTGCGATCGGCCAAACCTGAAGATGCAGCAGGTAAACAAACCGGCCCAGCCTGCCTGCCGGGGGGCTTACCCTGGCAGGCCATGTGCCAAAGGTTGCCGATCCCTGAGTTAGACATTAAGAAAAAGCTTCCTAAATCTCCCTTGCTGCAATTTAAGCCCATCACTTCTCATCCTGTCCTCAGTGGATAAGAGAGCAGTTTATCCCCCTCTTCTTTATAACAACCTTTCAAACACTTGACAACTTATATCCTCCCCCCCACCCCAATCTCTCTTCTCCAGAGTAAACAAACTCAAGTTTTTTCAATCTTTCATCATGGATCATGTTTTCTAGACCTTTAATCATTTTAACTGCTCTTTTCTGGACTTCTTCCAATATGTTCCACTCCTTTCCCCAGGTGTGCTGCCCAGAACTGGACATAATACTCCAGCTAAGGCCTTATCAGTGCTGAACAGCATGAAAGAATTACCTCTCATGTCTTGATAATTGGTTGGTGAAACAGAAGTATACAACTCTCAACCAAATTTAAGGTTTGTGCTCTGCTTCTTAACAATGTGTCCTGAGGTTGCTAGTCACTCTCTGGAGCCAGTGTCTGACAGCTTGACAGAGAATATCTGCACCTTGGATGGTGTGGTTCCTAGGGATGTAAAAGTTTAACTGGTTAACCAATAAGCTTGATGCTTATCGGTTTCAGTTCCGCTGTCGCCCCGCACCTAGGAGGCCGGCAGCAAGGCTGCGCGTAAAATGTGGGTGTGCTGCAGCACCTTCCGCACCCTTAGTTCCCCGGTTAAATGTTTAACTGATAGAATTTTAATAGGTTACACAGTTAGGTGTTTTATACGCTATTTACATCCTTAGTGGTTCCATCTTTCATTTTCTGAGTTCATAGGTGATGGAGTCTTAAGACTCCCAAATGCTACTTGATTAGCTAGCAGCAATGCCTAGCACACCCTTTGTCCATTCAAGACCAGAAAGATGCAATTATTTCTTTGCATGCAGACCTTGCTATTGTCATTCATGCTTTTGTCACTGAGACTGGACTATTGCAGTGTAGTGTTAAATCCATGACCTATGATCTGCATTGCCTGCTGTCCAGTTTCTGGGTGGAATGTAAGGCGTTGGTTTTGAAATACTAGTTGGCCTAGAAACTGCCTGAGACACCACTGATTATTTGTTGCAAACCCCAGCTATACTTTTGGGAAAAGGGAGATCTGCAGGAGGGAGACTTAGTTTTATTTTTCCTGGCCATTATAGAATTATATTGACTAAAAAAACTGTAATAACTGTCATTACTATAATTGTTTTCTTAACTAACTATTAAGGACACCTAAAATGATTGGTAGCAAATCTTATATTTTATGCATAATACAAATAGTAATATTTCTGCGGGGCTAATGAAAGCCTTTGATATTTGCAACCCCTTTGTCTTCACAAGGTTTTCACAGCACAGGCAGTTGTGGAGCAAAAACAATTATGCTGACATAAAATGGAGTAGAAATCTGCTCAGTCTTGACTGTTTTGTTTCAGAAGTGCTAACATTAGGGAAAAGCTATAAAAACCTCATGGAAGTCAGAAGACATGACATGACTGACTATACCAAAGGGAAAGATTTGTTGAGTAAGGCAGTAAAGCATAGTTCTACTTGAAAACTTAAGTAGCACCAACCTCTCCCCCTACAAAACAAAGGAAGTTAGATGCTAACAATACTTAATGTTTCATTAAGGCAGCATAGTTAAGATCACAAAGGTTACATCCACACTACCGCCAGATCAACACTCCGGCGATCAATGCACCGTGGTCGATTTAGCAGGTCTAGTGAAGACCTGCCAAATCGACCGCAAATTGCTCTCCGGTCGACCCCAGTACTCCACCGCAAACAAGAAGAGTAAGGTTAGTCAACGGGAGAGCATCTTCCATCAACCCAGTACAGTGTAGACACCAAGTAAATTGACATAAGCTACGTCGACTTCAGCTATGTTATTTACGTAGCTGGAGTAGCGTAACTTAGGTCGACTTACTGCGGTCATGTAGATAGCCTTAGTCAGGAAACTCAAAAACTAAGCATCTTACAACAACATCAGGCCCCAATCCTGCAAACACTTATGTACATGAATAACTTTCCACACAACTACACCTAAAAGTGTCAATGAGACTACTCAGAAACACGTCATGTAACTAAGTTGGCGAAACCAGGGACCTGGCTTGACTATGGTACATATTATGAGAACATATTTTATGTTGTTCTTCATATACCATAATTTTGTGTGTTAAGCTGTGTGATTTATATGGAAACCTTAACTTCATTTCTAAATTAGCTAAGCATTCATAAGCATATTATATGATGTTACAGTCATAATTTTTGTACCTAATATTTATGAAGATATATTAAAGTCGTGTCACGCTTTCATGTGACTATATGTTACACTGAATAACTTGGTGAAATTTACATCCACTAAGTTTCAACCGAAGCATTATGTTTCATTGGACAAACAAGACAGAAGTGGGACTTACATATTCCTTCACATTTTTTGTCTTCACAGCTTTGTAAGAATAATAAGCAGGGTACAACATCCCAAACACCAACCTAAGGAAAAATAAACAGTTTTTAAAATCTGACAAGCTGTATATAAAACAAAGCAATAATCTCATATATACACAATTAAAAGGGTGAACAACCTAGAAACAGCACTCTACTAGCTTTAAAAAAATATAAAGATTTTAAGGCAGTTTGAAGGAAGCTTTGGGCAATGTATAATGGCACTGCTTTAACTCAGGATGGCTAAAATGACCCTTTACAGATGGATCTATTTCTTAGAACCTGCCTCTTTAAGAGATGACTGTAATATTGCCAATTAAAGGAACTGCACTAGTAGCAATGGTACATGTTTCAGGTGTAGTTTTACCATAGGGTTACATGTGGACGTGTGGCAGGTGTGGTGCTCTTAGGGGAACTATTCTGCAACTGCCAACCCAGCTCCTTGAAACAATGGTTCGTGGGTGGTTTTGAGACAGATTCTACACTATGAAGAGAGTTATGGAAAGTCCAAATTCATTTTCCTGGAACTCCCCAGGAAGCTCAGCCATTTCTACAACATATTGCTCAGATGAATGCTAATCCAAATGGTAGGAGCTCATTCTTTGCACAGACAGCTAATTTCTGCTCAAAGTTTTGAAAGTTCTTCACCCTCTCACTCAAACAAACAAACAAAAAAGACGACGACAACCAGGAGGGTGTCCCAGCAATGCATGCTGGGACACCCCTGCTAATTTGTCATGGTAAAGAACTCTTAAGCATGGATTGGTGGGACAGTTGATTGAGACATGGAATCAACAGCAGTGGCTAGAGAATCCCTAAATGATGAAAGAACTCTAACTTTGTAACACCATTATGAAATCACAGTTCACCGAGAGGGCGTGCCAATTAAATTGGAGAAGTTAGTTCCACTGACTGCAAAGTATGCCTCAATGCTAATAAGTCTACTGTGGACGCAGTTTTGCTGGAGGCAGGCATGACCATATTTCAAGCACTACAGGGGTTTGTGGCCAAGGGGGCAAGTGATAGAGGGTTTTGAACAGCAGGGAGATGGTATCCATGGACCATGCACCTATTTTGTGCCCACCCTATCAAAAAGAGGTAACAGATCAACAGAAAAAGACCATCACTACAGTAATGCAAGCTTTGATGGAACTTCATGGTTATTTCTTGTATCTTTATAATATATGGCAAAGCAAGCTGTACTATGCCAGAAATTTAAAATCTCTGGGTATTAAGACCCAAACAAAAGGGCAAGTTGTTCATCCACATGGCATAGGAGTAGAATCTGTTTATGACTGGCTAAATAACTTTAAATTTTGCATAACCTCCATACTAGCACATATATAGCATAGATGCACTGAATCATTTGTTTCAATCAGTTCAATACAAACAGCTGAAGCATAAGCTATTGCAGTTAGATAAGGCCTTGTCTACACCAGACTTGACAGCCAGATTCAATGGTAAGATGATGAATATTACTCCCAGGACCACAACCCACTTTTCTTCCTCCTCCACCACCGCCCTGACCTCCCCCAGCTCCTAGACATTCCATCCCAACATACCACAGATCTTTACTCCAGATGTTTCTACTCCATTCTCCTTGGATATTGGACATGGGTAACTAGGTGTAACTTAACACCCCATTTTTGAACTGGAAAGTCTTAATGAGAAGCCATGTTTGAAAAAAATATGCATGGTAAATAGTGCATCAAATACAAATCTACTTCTGAGCACAGTGAGCTGTGCTAAATTACAGTCAATCTCCAAATTCACTGATTGTGGATATCAATGAAATAACAGGATTGCAGTTTAAAAGAGGCTTTTTTAAACAGCTATTAGAATTCTTGCTGGTTGCCTAAATTAAAGCCATGTTAGTTGCATTTTGACGAATAACAAGGAAAATGATGGATGGAGAGGTGAAGCAGAAATGTGATTGAGAGTCAATACCTTCTGTACAATGTTTGGATTCAAGCATGAGGAAGAGGTAGCTGAGAAATATAAGATGGGTTTTTTTGGTGACATCAGTGACTGCGTTGGGTTTTTTGCAGGGTTTTTTTTTTTAGAATAAGTACTTAATTTCAGCTTTGCATTAATGGAATCACATACAGTACAGATGAGGAGGTTACCTACCTATCACTGGAGGTTCTTTGAGATGTGTGGTCCCTATCTGACATGTGCCTGAGTCCGGAAGTGTTTCTTAGCAGAGTCCTTTGACCCACACGTGTGTCTCCTCGTTCTTCCAGCGCTGAGTGTATAAGAGGTAGTGTGGGTCAATGCCTCTCCAGTCTCCCTCTTACCATAATGGAATCCAGTCCGAAGCAGAGGGGATGGAGGGCAGTTAATGGAATACAGATAGGGACCATGCATCTCAAAGAACCTCCAGTTACAGGTAAGTAACCTCCTCCTCTTGAGTGATGGTCCCTATGTGTATTCCACACATGGGTGACTCGTGAACAGTTATCAGCATGGAGGTGGGTGCACGGATGCCAATGCCTGCAGTATGGCCTGACCCACAGCAGTGTTCGTTGCTGCTGCTTGTGCGATGGCGTAGTGTGTCGTGGACATGTGGAGTCCAGTGAGGCCAATGTGGTGGCTTGGGCTCTATGATGTTGCACTCCATATGTTTAAGGAAATATGCTTATGAGTGTAAATATAATGTAACTGGAATATGCTTTATGCAAAAGGTCTCTTGTAATGTATCTACTGAGTGTGTTCATCCTATCTGTATGAATGTATCATTCTTGTATCTGAAGCTAGAAATATGAAGTATTACTCTGAAGTCCTATTGTAACTATGCAAAGTGTGGGCCATTAATGGTGGTTTAGAATCTTGATGGCTCCCATTAACCAGGACAATTGGTTGGAAATGGCTCTGTACCAGGGGGAAAGGATTGGGCCCAGACTAGGAAGGAGTCTAGTCTGTGAAAGAAACTTATTGGAACATCTCTGAGGGTGAGATTTTATCTGTAATTACTTTCTAAATTTATTAGTCTTAGACTTGCGGGTTTTGTTTTAATTTGCTTGGTAACTTACTTTGTTCTGTCTGGCATTACTTGAAGCCACTTAAATCCTACTTTTTATACTTAATAAAATCACTTTTGTTTATTAACAAACCCAGAGTAAGTGATTAATACCTGGGGGAGCACACAGCGGTGCATATCTCTCTATCAGTGGTATGGAGGGCGGACAATTCATGAGTTTACCCTGAATAAGCTTTATACAGAGTAAAATGGATTTATTAGTTGTTTGGATCCCATTGGGAACTGGATATCTGGCTGCTGGAGATTTAAAACAACTCAGCAGGTTACCTGTTAAAGCCTGCAGCTTTGGGGGCGTGGTTCAGATCTGGGTCTGTGTTGCAGCAGACTAGCATTGTCTGGCTCAAAAATGCAGGGTTCTGGAGTCCCAAGCCATCAGGGAAAATGGGCTCAGAGGTAATTTCAGCACATCAGGTGACAGTCCCAAGGGGGTCTCTGTGACCGAAATCATCACAGGCTTGTGTTGAGTGCACTGTGATTTTAGCAGATGGAGGTATGATGCATTGGTTTTAGCATTCGCAGATGCACCCAGAGACCCATTTGGAGATTCGTTGGGACGAGGGGGCTTCACCACTGGACTTTTCAGCTATGGCCACAAATAGCTTTGGTGATGCGTGAAAGGGTCGAGTCCTGTGGAATGCCAGTACACAATGGACATCAAGGGAGCACAAAGCTTTGTCAGTAAGGGAAGGGTGTGGTTTGAGGCAGAAAACTAGCAGCTGTATGCACTGATTTAGATGGAACTCAGACACCACTCTTGGGAAGAATTTAGGGTTCAGCCATAAGGATATCTTGTGCTTGTCGAGCATCGTGTATGGGGAGAGTCTGCCATCATGGCTGAAAATTCACTGATTCGTCTGGTCAAGATAATGGCTATCAAGAAAGTTGCTTTCATCAAGAGGTGGGAGAGAGTGAGCATGTTGCTCAAAGAGTGGCTTCATTAGGGTGGAGAGAACGAGATTAAGATCCCATGGTGGTGTGGGCTTCAGTACTGGTGGAAAAGTGTTGAGTAAATCTTTCATCAAGCAGATAGTGGTGGGGTGCATCAACACAGAGGTCCATGGGAGACAGAAAGGCACTGAGTGCTGCCAGATGCATTAGAATAGAATTGAGGGTCAGGCCAACATCTTGAGGGTGAGAAGGCAGTTGAGGACGACTGGAATAGACTCCATGTTCAGTGAGTGGCGGTGGGCCCATGCTATGAAGTGTCTCCATTTAGTTCAGTAGCAGGATCTGGTGGATTCTCTCCTGCTTTAGGTAAGGATTTGTCGAACCAGAGTAGAGCACCCCCAACGCCCAACCAAATACCAGGCTGTGAGATGAAGAGGGCCTGGATTGGGATGACAAAGCCCCTCCCAATCTTGTGAGAGCAGATCCGGGAGTGTGCAGAAGCAGAGTGGTGTGCAGGCAGAGTCTGAGGAGGTCGTGAACCGGAACTGATGGTGCCAGAACGGGCTATGAGTATGACGGTGGCTCTCTCCTGGTTAATCTTGTGTAGCACCTGTGGCAGCAAGGGAATGGGGGGAGGCGTAGCAGAGGTTCCCTGTCCAGGGGAAGAGGAGAGCATTGCCCCGAGAGTCCTCCCTTAGAGCAATTGAGGTTCTCATGAGTAGCAAAGAGGTCCCATCGGGGAGGGAGGGTGCCCCACTTCATAAAGAGGTACAGGAGCATGGCATCATGTAGCTTCCACTCGTGTTATGTGCTGGTGACTGTTCCGAATGCTTGGGTGCAGAGGTCACCATCAGATCCCATTTGTGCCTGGCCTTACCCTTCATGCAGGCAATCTTGGGCACTGATCCAGCCGGATCCATGCTGGACATCTCACTTGACCTGGCACGGCTTGGGGAATCTGCTCTTGTGCCCATAAGAGTGTTTTTTTGCTCTGATGCTGGGACTTCTCCTTGATCTTCAGTATCACCAGTTCCGGGGCATGCGGAGTGCTCGAAGGGGCGCTCACCACTGGTGATGGCCACACAGGAGTTTCCTGGGCCCAGACCCAAGTATATCTTGG